TTTAATTTGACACAAGTTGTGCTGCTCAATTATAGATCCTATAAATATCCATTTAATTTCCAAAGCATTAACCTTCATAATTCACTATCTTTCTAGTTACATGTAATTTTCTTCCTTTCCAATAATGTTATTCCCACTTTTTCTGAAACCACAGCTTCATACCAGGTTGTGGTTCCAGAGCTGACAATATTTTATGGTAAGCTCACCAACCGTGATCTTGACAGTGAGTCCTGTCATGCTGTTTGATCATGGATCATTGCTCACTCCAGTCCCAACTTCAAATACGCCACACACCCTTGTGTTCTACTCTTCAATATGGATGACTCAACGCTGGTCAGGAATGGGATATAATTAGGGTTAGAGTCATAGAGATGTACAGTACGGAAACAGACCCTTCAGTCTAACTCATCCATGCTGACCAGATATCCTAAACTGATCTAGTCCCATTTGTCAGCATTTGGCCCATATCCCTCAAAACCCTTCCTATTCATATACTCATCCAGATGTCTTTTAAATGCTGTAATTATTACCAACCTCCATCACTTCCTCTGGCAGCTCATTCCATATACGTACCATCCTCCTTGTGAAAATGTCCGCTCTCATCTTAAACCTATATCCTCTGGTTTTGGACTCCCCCTACCCTGGGGAAAAGACCTTAACCATTCACCCTATCAATGCCCTTCATGATTTTATAAACATTTATAAGGTCACCCCTCAGCCTCTGATGCTCCAGGGAAAATAACCCCAGCCTGTTCAGCCTCTCCTTATAGCTCAAACCATGCACCCCTGGCAACGTCCTTGTAAATCTTTTCTGAACCCTTTCAAGTTTCACAACATCTTTCCTATGACAGGGAGACTAGAATTGAACACAGTATTCCAAAAGTGTAATTGCAAGAGGATTTAGTGACTGATTTTGCATCTTTGTTGCCCAGGAATACTGAGGACAGTGATAGCCCCCTTCTGTTGAAGGGTAAAGGAGGGTTTGTTTTAGAGAATGAATGGGCAGGCACTTGGAGTTCTCTTGAATTGAAATCTTTTTTCAGGTGAAGTGGCACATGTTCACAGTCCAGTCCATCATCAAGGGAGAAAGGAGAGGAAGAGAGTGTGAAGTGAAGCAGGAAGCAGTGGTGAAGGCCAGAAGATGAGGTGATTAATACTGTCAGCTGCAACTGCTAATTTCTTCCTCCTATTTCCACAAAATTAGGTTTCCAACTTTAGTGCATGAGATAAAGCAGAACCGGTGGATTGACTTAAAGCTATGTCTCTATTCCACAACACTGAAGCCAAATTTGGTCACTCTCAGGGGAAGGTTTCCACTCAGTGCTCTTTGTAGTGAAGTCATAAATAAAATCTCTTTATAAACAGTCGTGATTTCACTGCAGATACCATGTACAGCAGACTACCCCTTCACTTCAGTCACCATATTTAGATCACTGTTCACCAACTGCAGTAGAAAACTGTTCAAACATGTTGCACCACACAGTAGGTAGGCAGTTCTGAACACTGTAATGTGTCAATTGTTAGCCTTTTTTCTACATTTTTTGTAATAGGAGGAAGAAATTAGCAGTCGCAGCTGACATGTTAATCATCTCATCGTCTGACATTCACCACTCCTTCTCTGTTCCTGAAAAAATAGCTAATGAGTTTATGTACATACAGTGGTAACCCTTCCAGACTGACGAGATAGTTTATTAGCACAGGCAGTGTTGTACTATGCAGCTTACAAACCATTATATGTAAGAGGCCAGCTATTGAGCAAACAAATGGATCACTCCTACCACCAAGGTGAAAGATGACAAGGGTCAAATACTAAAAACATTCCCTTTGGTTAGTCAGGTGGGATTGGTTATTGTATTGTATAGGCGTCTGACTAATATGAGAACTCATCAAGGTGTTTAACATATTCTAAACTGATAAAGCTACGAGATCTCCTACCTTGGGGACTGCACATTCTGTCCCAGTTGAAATCAATAATATGATAATTGCCTGGGTTCAACAATTCCCAGAGAATCCCCTTCACCAAATCACTACCCATGTGGAAAATGTGGAGATGATCCCACCTTCCCCCAGTATGGCAGGCAATCACTATGGAGAGAATTGGTGAATAAAATGAATAATTGTACTGTAAATCTTTGAATCTGGTTACATATAATAAGGGTTCTAATGATAAAACTTACAGAATTTTAGGATTGATTGTTATTAAAATTTAATTACAACAAAGTCCATGTTTACACAAGTTTAGTTTGGACTATAGTTGATTTAAATTCCTATACCAATCAACGATAATGAAGCACTATTGTGCACTTTGGTATTTAACTTGCAAGTGTTTTTTTGCTTAATTGGAATCACATATATGCAGATGTAGCTTGTACCAATGGAGGCTGGAGCTCAGGTCTATTACATAGCTCTCAGCAACCCATCTAGGGGCCATATTTTTTCAAGTAAGATCAGAAGGTGTGGGTGGGTTGAGTGGTAATTTTAATGCTGAACATTGGATAGTATCAAACTAGCCACCCATTTTACACACTATTGTTGTCAATCAGATAATGTGTAACAAGTATCAATTTTAAAGTCACCGATTTTACACATCTCCTAGAGTTAACAGGCTATTGAAAAACAGAAATTTCCAAAAACACACAATATAGTCATGTCTTATATCTATACAGGGCCACTTTCCAACATGATTAAAAGTTATTTTCAATTATCAAAAGAAATTATGTTTACAAAATAGATTCATTCAATTTTTGTTTCTCATCCATCCATTTGTCTCCATTGGCAATAAAAACTTCAGAAGAGTGATGACTGATATCATTGAGCTGTAGTGCTGACCAGGGGCATTTTGATGAAATGTTATTTGGCAAAAAGGTGGTGCCAATAAGTTTGTGAACCTACTAATAACAAAAGGCAGCAAGGACAGATTGGAACTCTTCCATGGTGTCCTAAGGGTTTAACGGCCTCCTGGGTTACTGATTCTTGTGAAACGATGGGGAAAAGATATTCTTTTTTTTTAGAATATGGAATATCTTTTTATTGTCACATGTACTCCAGTACAGACATACAGGAGTTCAGTGAAAAGTTTTTAGGATAGCTGCCTCTAATGGCAGCATCTCAGGGACAAGTACCAAGATTTGGATACAGAACAGGAACAAAACGAAAAGCAGCTGCATTACTTAGTGTCTAAAAAATAAATTAGTAATAAGACAGTTATAACATAGTTAAAGGATTTACATTATAGTGCAGTAAAGAATTTCAAACAGTAGCCGCTCAGCATGTTCTCCTACCGCCTGCGCCAGTCCCCAGTCCAACAACTGTCCTGCTCCGCAGTGGCACTCAGCTGCACCAAGGTAAATTGCACTGCTCCAGGACTCGATTCCCCCCGTGCTGCTCTGGGATTCATTTCCCCCCGCGCTGCTCTGGGATTCATTTCCCCCCGCGCTGCTCCGGGACTCGATTCCCCCCGCACTGCTCCGGGACTCGCTTCCCCCCGCACTGCTCTGCGTCTCGCTTCCCCCCCGCGCTGCTCCAGGACTCGTTTCCCCTCACGTTGCTCTGGGACTCGCTTCCCCTCGCATTGCTCTAGGGCCTTTTCCGCGCGTGCTGCTCCAGGACCTATTCCGCTCGTGCTGCTCTGGGACTGCTAAAAAGAGAAAAAGAAGAAAGAAAAAGGACAGGCAGAGCAGAGGGGCTCCAGGTGGAGTGTTCTGCTCTGCCGCCATCTTGCTGGAAGATGCTAGGTGTAGCAAGATCCTATAAGTTTGCCTGCAACATAGTGTTATCACTTCCATAGAAGCCAATGATGTTAAAAGAAATTCAAATTTCCAGTTAATAATGAATGACACGAGAAGATTTTATGTTTTTTAAAATTTGACTTTATCCCAAAAATTAAAAGTACCAATGGCTAAATCCTACTTGTGTGAGCATTTACATTTAAACAGAACCAGAACAAAATATTTAGCACAACTGAAAAACCCACTTTCTGCTGTGTATGACATTGTCTTTAAGCAGACAGTCAGTACTCCCCTAAGAGATCCAAAATTATTTTCATTTCCCAAGAGTTTGAGCTTTTCCTTTCCCAATTGGGAAACTTTTAACTGCAGAGATAGTAAGAACTGACGATGCCGGAGTCAGAGATAACAAAGATTGCTCTCCCTTTCTTGGATCCTGGCAGGCTAACCTTATCTGTGAGTTTTCATGGACATCTTAGACCTTCCCCTTCTCAAGGCATTCAATAAGGCTACTTCATATGAAAAGAGCCTATGGGATTGTGGGTAGTATACTAGCATGGACAGAGAATTGGCTAACCAATTCTCCATTACTTTGTCTTCAATCAGGCAATATATTACAAGTGTCAAATCTAAAATCACCTCTTTTACATCAACTTCCAGAGTTAATGTTACCCACAGCAAGAATTAACAGGCTATTGAATAACAGAGGATTCCAAAAACACCCAATATGGCCCCGTCTTAGAAGCCAGAGACTCGGGATAAAGGGGGCATTTACAATTGACAACCTGTAACTAGTGGAGTGTCATAGGGATCAGTGCTGGGGCTACAACTATTTACAATACATTAATGACTTGGATGATAGAAGTGAATGGATTATAGCCGATGGATTTGCAGATGACACAAAAATAGTTAGGAAGGCAAGTGGTGAGGAAATTTCCAAAAGTTGTTACATCACGCACCGTCCCCGGCTTTCACCTCCATCAGCAACATCAGAGAGGCTCTAGGCCAAATGTGTGAACTGCTCCTGTGTGAATCGCCTTGTTTTGTAATACAATAAATGTCAATTCAGTCACAATTCAAAGTGCACGGGAAAGGGTTACAAAAACAGTTTGTGTTGACATCTACTTAATGTTCCTGGGATTTCTATTCAGCTTATAAAACAAGAAAGATATAGATGTTGCTTGTTCAGCAGATTCTATTCACCACTTTGTACCACACACCCCTCCCCCGTTTGCAACTCATGCTTATTTTTGGCACCTTTCTTTCTCTCTGCAGAAGCAGCCAAGGATACATGCATATGAAGTTCAGCAAAACAAAAGACTGCAAGTACATTCTCGGCCAGAACAGCCCACCATTTGACAGTATTCCAGAGGTTATAAACCACTACACGAGCCACAAGCTGCCCATTAAAGGGGCCGAACATCTCTCTTTGCAGTTTCCTGTGATGGTGCAAACACTGTGACTGGACCACAGGCAGGCTGCCTGAAGCATGGCAGTGAAAAGGGAAAACAAAGCTGTGTGGGAATAGCAAAGGAGGCTAATTTTAATGGAATGTCAACAAGAATTTCAGTTAACCTGGCTTACCGTACTGAATTGAATGCAGCGCAGAGCTCCAAGTCTGGGCTGTGATATAATTACAAGCCAGAGCTGTTGGCAAATTCATTTCCTGGGATTCTATTTCAAACATTGTGGTTGGACCATGAATGTCACTGAACTCACATGTGTAAGGATGTGGTCACTCATTTAACTTGGGAATATATGGAATTAATCTTCTTTCTCCTGTGGGTATCCCACCCCTCTCCTCCTGAATACAAAACCACAAGCACCTGACATTTTGTATACATCACCCAGATGGGCATGTGTGCCAGCCTGCACTGCTGCATTTTAGCTGTCTGCTTCATCATGAGGACATCATCAGCATGGTTTTATCTGGCATCGTGCACTCACGCAGAAAGGGTTCCTGGTTAGTGATTAGTCTTGCCCCTGCCATCTCCTGGCACAAGGGCATTGAAGTCAGTTATTATACCCACCCTGATTGAGCTTGCCTATCTTAGCACCAACCAGGGATCGAACTTGGGATTTTTTCTGGTCTTTGTAACTCAGTACAACACCGTACGGTTCTCCAATCAAATGAAATATTGAGGGTGTAGGAGGGTGGGTGTTGGGTATGGGTGGGGGGTGGTACAGGGGAATTGTGGTTGTATTGGCATGGAATGTCTTCAAGTTCCAGTGAAATATGTGTTTTCTATTTTCAATAATATTTTCTGTAAATATCCAACAACTTTTTTTTATAAAATATGCTTGGAAGAAATGTCTGAATGCATAATTCACAAATCAGGCTTAAGCAGAGTGTGTTCTGTGCAGAGATTTTAAGAAATCATGGTGATCATAGCAATTATTGTGTGAAAGCAAAGTGAGTAATGAGGTCATTACTGAAAGCACCTCCTGCTGCTTTGGGGGACAGAACGTTTGCAAATCCCTCTTTTTGTTTAAATTCAACCTTTCCAACCTGACCATTAAAGACAAACTCTAAAGATTTTTCCTGTGCATTCCATCTTTTCCACCTCTCTCCGTGTCTGGCTAATGCCTTTCCAACTGGTTCTGTCTGTACATGCCTCTTCTACCCTCTGTGCCTCCTTCTGCCCTCCCATCCATCTACCTGTCTTCATTTTTTCTATTTCTCCCTCACCATTGCTGTCCAATAGGTCTGGCTGTCCTTCCTTCTCTACATTTTTACTTCCTCTTCCCTAACTCATTCCTTCCACCTTTCTCCCTTCCTTCCGAGTGTCTGCAGCTTGTGTTTCACTCTGTATCTTAAGACTGGAATTTAAAGACTTCCTCTTGCTTTAAGTTGGCACAGTGGCTCAGTGGTTAGCACTGGTGCCTCACAGCGCCAGGAACCCGGGATATATTCCATCCTTGGGTGACTGTCTGTGTGGGGTTGCACATTCTCCCCGTGGCTGCGTGGGTTTCCTTTGGGTGCTCTAGTATCCTGCCACAGTCCAAAGACATGTAGGTTAGGTGGATTGGCCGTGCTAAATCGCTGATAGTGAAGATTAGGATGGAGCATAAGGATCCTTTTTACATTCTGTCTCTGTCCCAACTAGGTCCGGAGATGGAAGGCTTTATTCTCCACTGCCTATTGAGGCACTAAGAGGGAGATTATTGGATATGTAAGGGATTCAGTCTTGGGGGACTTGCCTTGTTGAAAGCCTGAAAAGCAAATCCTGTTGGGGGTTGCCATTCAAAATCTAGACTTGGGTGGGTGCATTACCGTTGGAAGCTACTGCCTCCACATAGGAGCTGTCGAGTAATGCAAAATTGCCGTAAAGCCAACAGAAGTAACCCATTCAGCCCATCGAATCTGCTCCGCCATTCAGTGACTTCATGGCTCATTTGATAAACTCAACACCATTTTCCTACCTTTTCCCCACAGCCCTTAATTCGCTTCCTGGTTAAAAACCTGTTTTACCCAGCCTTGAATATTGTTAATAACCCAGCCTCAAAATCCCTCTGTGATAAAGAATCCCAGAGATTCATTGCCCTCCCAGAGGAGGAATTCTTCCTTATCTCTGTCCTCAATAGACAACCCTTTACTCTGAGATGATGCCCTCCCCACCTCCATCCTAGTCTTCCCCAACAAAGAGAAACAACCTCTCTGCATCTACCCCAGCCTCTGATTGGCCAGCAGATCCTTAGGAGGGAGGACGTAGGTTGTTGTTCCTGGAGATGGTCTATTGCTACCCAGTTAAGTGCCTGATTGGTCATAGAGCATGGAAACAGACCCTTCAGCCCAACGAATTCATGCCGACCAAGTTTCCAAAACTAAACTAGTCCCACTTGTCTGTATTTGGCCAATATCCCTCCAAACCTTTCCTATTCATGGAGCTGTCCAATTCTCTTTTAAATGTTGTAACTATATCTGCATCTACCACTTCCTCCAGCAGCTCATTCCACATACGAACCGCCCTCTGCGTGAAAAAGCTGCCCCTGAGGTGCCTTTTAAATCTTTGTCCTCTCATCTTAAAAATATGCCCTCTGGTTTTGAACTCTCCCACCCTAGGGAAAAGACTTTTGCTATTCACCTCCAGTGAAAAAGGTCCCAGCCTATCCAGCCTCTTCTTATAACTCAAACCCTCCACTCCCAGCAACATCCTGGTAAATCTTTTCTGAACCCTCTCCAATTAATTAATATCCTTCCTATAGAAGGGTGACCAGAACTGTACACAGTACTCCAAAAGTGGCCTCACCAACATGACATCCCAACTCCTATATTCCAATGGTCTGAGCAATGAAGGCAAGCGTGCTAAATGCCTTCTTAACCACCCTGTCTATGTGTTAAGCAACTTTCAAAGAACTATGCACCTGAAACCCTAGGTCTCTCTTTTTAACAACACCACCCAGGACCATACCATTAACTGTATAAGTCCTGCCCTTTTTTATACCAAAATGCAATACTTCACATTTATCCAAATTAAACTCCATCTGCCACTCCTCAGTCATTGGCCCAATTGATCAAGATCACTTTGTAATCTTAGATAACCTTCTTTACTGTCCTCTATACCAACAATTCCAGTGTCATCCACAAACTTACTAACCATGCCTCCTAAATTCTCATCCAAAATGACAAACAACATTGGACCCAGAACCCATCCCTTTGGTACACCGCTGGTCACAGGCCTCCAGTCTGAAAAACCACCCTCTGTCTCTTACCATCAAGCCAATTTTGTATCCAATTGGCAAGCTGCCCCTGAATCCCATGTGATCTGATTTTACCAATCAGTCTACCACATGGAACCTCATCAAAGGCTTTACTAAAGTCCATGTAGACAACATCTACTGCTGTACCCTCATCTAGCTTTTTGGTTACATCCTCAAAAAAACTCAATCAAGTTTGTAAGACATGATTTCCCATGCAGAAAGCCCCGCTGACTATCCCTAATCAGTCCTTGCCTCTCCAAATACATGTAAATCCTATCACTCAGAATCCATTCCAACAACGTAGCCACCACTGAAATCAAACTCACCCGATCTATATTTCCAGGCTTCTCTTTACAGGCTTTCTTAAATAAAGGCGTAACATTAGCCACCCTCAAATCCTCCAACACCTCCCCAATGACTGTAGATGATACAAATACCTCTGCTAGAGGCCCTGCAATTTCGTTCAAGCAGCACTGCTGCCTCACAGCGCCAGGGACCCGGGTTCGATTCCACCCTTGGGCGACTGTCTGTGTGGAGTTTGCACATTCTCCCTGTGTCTGCATGGGTTTGCTCCGGTTTCCTCCCACAGTCCAAAGATGTGCAGGCTAGGTGGATTGGCGATGCTAAATTGCCCGTAGTGTTCAGGGATGTATAGATTAGGTGGGTTATAGTGGGGTGGGTCTGTGTGGGATGCTTTGAGGTTCGGTGTGGACTGGTTGGGCCGAAGGGCCTGTTTCCACACTGTAGGGATTCTATGATTGCTTGAAAGTATGCAGCCCACAGTTCTTATGCTGTCCAGCTGGCAGGTAAGCCTTCCATTGCCTACATTAAATAATGCTTGATATTACTCAGTCTTTCAACAACTTACACATCAAACCCCCCAAAACTAAGACAGGCTAAAGGTCTGACATGTGGCAGACCACATAACACAGTGGCTGTACTTATTCCATGCTGGAGTCATTTTCAGTAGTCTCATTGAATGGAACTGAGGTGACAGTAATCTCCTCACATCTCCATCATCATCATTATCATAACCAGATTTTAACAGAGCCATTTAGTGTGATCCCTATCACTAACAGTGCCGTGACAGATGAGCAATTTGTAATTATATCCAGCACAAAAGAGATTGTGTTGTCATTGACAGAATATTCCTGAGATTAATATAAAATAATACCACAAGGGAGGAAACATTAGAAAGTGGAATTGACTTTTTGTTTATTTTCTCCTATTGTCGTGGTGCTGACTCTCCCGGCCTATGGATTTCACATGCGCAGTTCATGATTCAACACCTCACCTGAGTGACTCCTCTCCGTTGTGAGTGTCAGGACTGGCGTGGCATCTGTGCCCAACACAGGAATGGAGCTTGGTGCTGTACCCCCACTAGTACACTTTCCATCGCAGGGGTCACATGTTCACGGTCTGAGTGGCCAATTCTAGGTAGCTTTGCCACATCAACAGAGGCCTGGTGCAGACCAGGCAGGTCAGCACAGACGGGGGGGGGGGGGTGGGTGGATTATCTGGTCCATATGTCATATTTACATGGGAACCATCTGGGCTTTGTTCACTGGGAATGAATGAATGGATGCCTGCTCATATTGAAAAAGTATCCTGAGCCTGGAGACTTGATCTACTACCAGATTTAAAATGGCAGCTTAACTCAATGACAGCACTCACCCCTACACATGAAGGTCGTGTGTTCAAGCCCCAACTCATAGCCTGAGCTGAAACTTCAATGTGGTACTGAGAGAGTGCTGCATGGTCAGCAATCAGTCATTTAAACTGAGGTCTGTTCAGGGACATAAAAAGATCTAATAACATTACTTTGATAGAGAGCAGCAAAGATCTCCCGGAGGCCCTGGTTGATGTTTATTGCTCAACCAAGGCCACTGAAAGCAGATTAACTAGTTATTTAACTCATTGTGAAATTCTTGGAAAAGCTACAAAACTGCAAGATTTGCTGTTAGATTATGACTTTTCACTACCTCTGGGATGTTGTGAATAATCTACAGTGGCATCAGAAAAATGTCCATGTTCAGTCATACAAGATTGGAAATAGACAGTGGGATCTGCTTCCAGGACTAAGGCTTTGTCATTTTCATATGACTACACCCTCCCATTCCCCCAGTGTTTTTCACACAATTTCTGTTCACAATCCTCACAACTGTGTCATCTATTTTCCGTCATGCTTTTAGGAGCTTTTTTAAATTCATTCGTGAGATATGGGCATCGCTCACTGGCCAGCATTTATTGCCTGTCCCTAGTTGCCTTTGGGAGGGTGGTGGTGAGTTGCCTTCTTGAGCCGCTGCAATCCATCTACTGTGGGTTGACCCACAATGCTGTTAGGAGGGAATTCCAGGATTTTGACCCAGCGACAATGAAGGAACAGTGATATATTTCCAATCAGGTGGTGAGTGGCTTGGAGGGGACTTTGAGGTGGTTCTCTTCCCATATATCTGCTGCCCTTGTCCTTCTAGATGAAAGAGGTTGTGGGTTTGGAAGGTGCTATCTGACGATCTTTGGTGAATTTCTGCAGTGCATTCTGTAGATAGTACACACTGCTGCTATTGAGTGTCAGTCATGGAGGGAGTGAATGCATGTGGATGTAGTGTCAAACAAGTGGGCTGATTTGTCCTGGATGGTGCCAAGCTTCTTGAGTGCTGTTGGGGCTGCACACATCCAGGCAGGTGGGGAGTATCCATCACACTCATGGCTTGTGCCTTGTAGATGATGGACAGGCTTTGAGGAGTCAGGAGGTGAGTTACTCACCACCGTATTCCTCACCTCTGATCTGCTCTTGTAGCCGCTGTGTTTATGTGGCAGGTC